ATCTTCTTAAGGTATGCTGGATATTCCTTATTTTTACGGTATATATATATATACCGTAAAAATAAGGAATATCCAGCATACCTTAAGAAGATAGAACCTTTAAAATTAATTATATATATATATACCGTAAAAATAAGGAATATCCAGCATACCTTAAGAAGATAGAACCTTTAAAATTAATTATATATATATACCGTAAAAATAAGGAATATCCAGCATACCTTAAGAAGATAGAACCTTTAAAATTAATTATATATACATGTATATATATACCGTAAAAATAAGAAATATCCAACATACCTTAAGAAGATAGAACCTTTAAAATTAATTATTTATACATGTATATATACCGTAAAAATAAGAAATATCCAACATACCTTAAGAAGATAGAACCTTTAAAATTAAAGGGATGTCCAGTATAATGAAAATTCTTTTTACACCAATTGTATCGAAGTAAAAATTGTGTATAGATAATTTGTTACAGTCGGAAGACATCTTTGATTTTTTTTGTTGTTTCTTGTATATATGATTTTTCTGTTTCTTCTATATAACACCTTTGATTTTTTGTTTCTTGTATATATCATCTCTGATTTTTTTCTTGTATATATAACACCTTTGATTTTTTGTTTCTTGTATAAAACATCTCTGAGTTTTTCTTGTATATAACACTTATGTTTTGTTGTTCTTGTATATTATTACAAAAAATAAGGTAATACACGTCAATGTCTTCTATTTATGCTATGATAAATTATTTTATTTTATTTTTGTATAGGTGACAATATACCGCTAAAATTTTCTTAAAATATATATCTTTATTAAATAGGGATGTTATTAATGATTCTCACAGTTTATCACCACAGGTGATCGTTTTACACAAACGTTTTCTTTAATAATTAATAATTATCACATGCTTTTATTTAAAAAGAAATACTTATAATGATATACACATAAGCTGTTACTAGGAATGAAGTATCCATTCAATTAATATAAATTATTTATTCAGCTCGTTTCAAAAACAAAAACAAACAGAAACATAACTATGGTATATCTTTATCTATTTTCTTGTTTATTTCTGGTACTGAATGACTAATGTGCTGGCTGTGGCCACTATAGCTGAGCTGTTTTCGATGTGCCAATATACTCCACCCCTCCCAAGTGTTCTAAAATCCAAAACCCTAGATTCTCCCTCTTCCCTTTTCCTTGGTTTCTGAACATCCTTGAAGAAACCCAACACCCACACCCCTCCTCCTCTAACAATCTCTACTATCACTGTGTGTCAATTACATATGTGTCGTTTATTTACCAAACAATGCCTGTCAATTGATATAAAATGAATCTGATACCTATGGAAGTCAGTGTAAATCGTATAATCAGCATACGTTATATATATAATATGGCTAATTTACTTCATCTAACAGAGGCCTAATCATTTAACCTTTCACACCGTACTTTTATTCTGCTTCATCAATGTTATAATAGGTCAATCGTTTGCCATAATATAGTCATTCAGTCAGTATACATCATAAAATTAACATAGTCGTTATAGAAGAGGTTAAAATCATATCTGTTATCCCTACTTGATAAACCAGGGTAAATTTGCTATTAATTGTCATTATTATTAAATCATTTTAGCATACCTTCTGGTACAAGTTATTACATAATGATAATATCATAAGTTCAGTTGTAAACTTCATGGGCTGATTTTTTGTAATTACTCTGAAAAAGAGTTTGTCAGCAATGTCATTGAAGTTATGGGCTATAAACTTTGTTTGGTACAAAACACAACGTTTCTTTTGATGTGGCGAATTGAAGATATTACATGCGTTTTGTAAAGTGATCATTCTCGAGGTGATATACATGTGGGAGCCGTTTGTGTAATCCAGTGATTCAGGAAAAATCGTACACGTTCAGTTTTCGCTTTAGGGATATGAATGACTCGTCCATATCTCAACAAAACTTCACTAGCAACATCTCTAAAGAAGAGTAAGGAGTGGATAATGTTGACTAGCTGCCTCCACCCTTCTAATCTATCATTTCAAAATACGGGAAGGATATTCCCAGATAGCTATTATGTAGCGTTGCACTAGTATATGAAACAAACATACACGTGACGAAATTACAACGTTGCAGATATAGGATAAACGTAGGAAACAGTATAAAACAAATGTGTTATAAAATATAACGATACGAGTAACCATGTTATCTCAGTGCAATATAATATTCTCCTTCATTTCAGTTCCTCCAAGTAGACCCGTTATTCGAGACGAAAATGGCGAGGCTCAGCAAAGCTTGATAGGACCTTATAACGAGGGTGATTCCCTGTCTCTTACATGTGAAGTTGTAGGAGGTAAGAAAGCTGTAGTTTAGTTTAATCAATTAAAATAATCCTTCCCTGTCTCTTACACGTGAAGTTGTAGGAGGTACGAAAGTTGTAGTTTAGTTTAATCAATTAAATAATCCATAACCAAACATACGTGTCTGCTTAAAACGTATGAAGAGTATCATCAACCAAATATTTCACAGTAAGATATAATATCGATATGTTTGTAAATTTTTTGAAACTAGTTCAGTATTGGTTAAAATTTGCATATTTTGTAACAAATAAGATCATTATTATTAAGATGTAATACAAATACACTTAGCGCTGTCAAACTGAGAAATACATGTTATATTAAACATCTACATGTGTGTAATTAGACATGAACGATTTATTAGAACAGCAAACAATTTTATTAGACGCCTGTAGAAAGGTGTGTAATTGAGCGTTTCACTTATCACCGCAAATCCTTACCAAAACATATACAGTGACAAAATATCAAATTAATATGAATAGCGTCTGTAACATTATATCAGTTCATATTAAACATTCAGTACTTGGTTGGTTCTCCTCGTACTCAAAAAACCTCCGCAACGCGACGTGGTATGCTGATGATGAGGTTATTGGTGTAATCCATCGTTATTTTATTCCAACTTGTCAATAGACGGCGCTGCAACTCAGCTACAGTAACTGGTTTAGGGTCGTAGTTAACTATTTTTCCGACTCAGTACTGCTCAACACTTCTCAAAGGGATTACAAGCTGGAGACATTGCTGGCCATGACAATTTTATAACGTCCTCATGGTCGAGATAATCCTGTATAATATGCGCACTGTGACCTGTGCATTTTCATCTTGGAACACAGAGTTACTGCCTAGTCTTGCCCTAGCATATAGCAAAAATATCGTCTCCATGTGATGCCTATAGAAGTCGCCATTGACGTTGCCCTGGAAGATATAAAAAGCAGTTTTTTCACCATGATGAATGGCCGCCCAAATATGTACTGCACCACCTCCTCTGTGTTTCCTGTGGGAAAGACAGTCTTCCCTCATCTGATCTCAAAGCAAACTACGAACACAAATCCTACCATCAGCTTTAACAAGCCGGAAACATGACTCAACTGAAAAGATGACATGTAGCCAGTGTCCTAACTGTAAGTTGGCATGCTGTCTTGCTCAAGTAACACGGTGACAGCGGTGAATTCTGGTTAATATCGACTTGCAGACAGCTCTTCTTGCAAAATATCTTTGTTTGGTCAGTTTCCTATTCACTGTTCTTTAGGATATTTTAAAATGGATGTGTCGTAAGGTGTTGCAAGACTTATTTTGACCTTCACGTTTAACCCAATGAAAACATAGTCATCTAAGGCAGTAGTTTTTTGGCGTCTACCAGTAGCCTTTCCTGGAACAACGTTTCATTTAGTCCAATAACGTTTCAGGATTCTGGATACAGTACACTGGGGGTACCTTACTGTTCTGGTAATATCTATTTGGTTCGTACCATTTCTGGAGAGTCGAACAATTTGAAACCCTATAACTTCTGGCACATGACGAGGCATGACTCTACACCAAGTACAGAGAAATTGTCTGAACAAAGCGTTGATCTTTTCGAAAAAAATATTATGCCAAAATCACACCCTTTTATACAAAACAGGTGTGTGTATATGTTTTGACGAACAAATGCTCAAAACAACTTATAAAGACCCGAATAACAACTCGTATATGTTTGTTCGATCATATACTACCTTCTCTGTTACTCTTCGGGCATTTACTCAATATCTACTCCATGCATGTAGACAATACCATCGATACAAAACAGTATGTATACATTTTGTTAAAAGAACAAGTGAATGTGATGACTACTCTTAGAACTACTTTCCCAATCGTCGATAGTAATCCTAACGATTATAATAATTACATACAATTTCCATTGTAACAAATTTCTGTGAAAGACAACATGGTCGGTTTCACACAACACCTATTAATCAACTTGAAACAGATCCTGCACTAAATGAGCACATTGGTTTCCAAGACCACGTTTAAGCAGACCAATAGCTCAATCTCTCTATATATATACCATATCCAAGCAGGATGTTTATAACGATGGTCCTCCACAGATCTCTTCTCCTTGAAGCGCAAAGAATTTCAATGTCAATACATTCATCCATTTAGATAGACTCTTGACATAAGTCAACCTCTGTCTTCCACGGTCTCTCTTTCCTTCAGTCTTTCCAGTTACGATCAGACTTTCAATTTCTGTGTCCGAGAAACTCCAACTGTCTTGCCAACAACTTCCTCCTGCAACCTTCTCTTGACAAAATATCTTCTTTCAGGTCTGAGTTGTCCAACACACTTTCAAGATGCATCTTAAGAACCACAACCCCCATTTCCATACTTGACGATATTATCCAACATAGACCAATAGCACAAACGTCCATTCTCATAAAAATCAACCATTGATTGCGAGGTTTATCTGAAAGCTTGTGAAGGCTAGATAACCTTAACTCCTTTTTATTATCATGTTAACAACACCAGTGAACATGCTCAGCTTTGTCACAATGTTTTCCCTTTCTTGCATTGGAGGATTCTCTTTCATGACCACAGCCTTCACTTTGTAAATGACAGCATTGTTCCAGAATTACTTAGGTATGATTTCAGAGTTTACTGCTGTCCCAAGCACTCTGCTGTTCGAGTTTTTTTTATCTTCATCAGAATGCCTATGACTTATATTCCACCAGCCACAAATTATATGTGGTGGCTTTCGACTGAAATAACAGGAATTCACCATCATCCAATTATATAAGTGATAATCAGGTTCCCCGTTGTGCCACGGCTATCACATTTGGGTGACATACTACTGTGTTAATATTCGCTAAACATCCACAGACATTGCGTTGATACTTCTCTATTGATTGCCTCCAGTTATTTTTATTCGCACTGAAAATACATTTTCTTTAAAAATGTAAGTCGTTATATATATTAGAACTTAAAACTTAGAACTTCAAACGTATTCTAAAGGAAATAAAGAAGAGGAGTCGTAAGGAAATGTTTAGAAGCAATTTTATAATTCGGTCGCATATTTACCAAGCTTTTAACGATTGTTTTTTTTAAAAACAATTATTACACTAAAGGGCAAAGTTAAGAACAGTAGGGTAGTTTCATGTATTACGTAACTAACTAAAGTATTTTATTCTTTGTCGATCCAACCAATATTCCTCAAAGTGCAGATGATAATCATTTTATGCCTAGAAGGACATGCAGTAATTAGATTTTGATATTTTATCTGTAAAATAAAGCATTTTCATCGCTTAATGAGCCTTGTGGGACAGTTTGTGTAATTAATTTTTTATATTCTGGAATCATTATGATTTTTGCAATTAACAAAAGAACCATGAACAAAAAAGTAACGTCATCAATTATATAGACACTTATCTAAATGTTCGGCAAAAGAAGATAAAACCTTCATTCAAGAAAGTATATATATAATAATCTATATGATCTAAGATGTGTATATATATATGTTATGCGGTTCCAGATATTTTGTAACTAATTTCAACTGTAATTTCTACTTTATTGTGTTTTTTTACTAAGGGAGTCCTTTACCCAATGTGACATTTCAACTGTAATTTCTACTTTATTGTGTTTTTTTACTAAGGGAGTCCTTTACCCAATGTGACATTTCAACTGTAATTTCTACTTTATTGTGTTTTTTTACT